GCCGCCAAGGAGCCACTCATCTCTGAGTCCCCCTTCCGTAAAGTATACAAGGTAGAACTTTCATTTATTCATTATTAGCTTTATCCTGTGACTCCGTTCGCGTGGAATTAAAAAAAGTGAGTAGACTATGTGTTCTTCCAGACTTTGCTCTACATGTACACCAAATTTTATCAAAATCCGTTCAGCCTTTAAAAATATGTTTTTAAATCACATTAAAGAACAAAATAGGTTTCTATAAATCCATGATAATTAACCTTTTAAGAAAATAAGCTAAATTTAAATATTATCGACCAACATTGCGGATACATATATAATTATTTTTTTAGCGGCGTATTCTGCTGTCCGCGGAGGAAGGCGAACAGGATGACTTCAATGATGAAGGAGATCTCGAGACTAACTGCACGCATCACAACAAAGTCTACTTTAGTGTGACACCGCGACTTGCTAACGTGTAAGTTGAAATGTTACTTCATTAAAAACATCATCCCTCCTTATTCCTACACAGAGTTAGCACAGTTGTACACTTAATAGCTACACCCTGCTTCTGTATAAAATATACTAACTCTAAATTGTTGTAAATATGCTAATAATTATTATTTGTTACAGCGCTTCTGAATATCCTCAGAAAGCTATTTTGGTTCCTGGAAATGAAGTTATATTTTCACTGGAGACAGCCTCCGATTATCTCAGTGACTACAAAATTGACAAGTAAGTATAAATACATAATTCCAAATACATCGATTCTGAATTAGTAAAATAATAATTTTATTATGTTGTTATGCATTTTCAAATGAAGCAAACAAACGCTGAAAGGGCCTAAGGAAGTCTACCGTTTCATTCGCGACCTAATTTTTTTCCATCCCATTCTATCTATATTTTTATTTTTAAACTAGCTTTCGCATGTGACTCCGCCCGAGTGGGAATTAAAAAAACAAAAGCGAGTAGCCTTTGTATCCTTCCAGATTATCCTCTTAGACCAATTTTTATCGAGATCCTTTCAGCCGTTTAGGCTACAAACTCTAACAAAGATACATCCATCCACCTCAAATTTCGCACTTATCATATTAGTAAGATTTCTCTGTTTTGCATTAAGATTTGATTTGATTCAGTTTGTTATCACGGCGTGAAATATGATCTATTACCATACAAAAACTTTAACACTAAAGACTCCACTATTTCATTCACTTTTGTAAATAAACACTTGTGCTGCAGTGGTCCAGACAACCGTTTCGGTTTTCGCTGTCTGTGCGTGGGCTACGAAGACGCACCATTCACTACGCAACGTAATGGTTTATCATTACTCGAGATGGAGCTGGTGTACGCCGGCGCGGCGTGCGCCTCGCGACTTCTAGCACCAGACTTGGAGCTGCCGTATACTTCTCTCAGTAAGCTAACTTAATTCAAGTTGATAATATCATAGAGCATTGAAGGGAAAGGGACCTTCGCTTAGCTTAGGGACAAGTGTGCTACAACTGACCCACAGAAATAAAATCCCACAGAATATCTTGTTTTCCTAGACTTCTCTTCTTACATAGAGTATATGCAATTCCGTACATAGGAGCATAGCGTTTTCCCCAGCGCTTTATACCTCCCATATGTGCAGCTGCGTTATGAAGACCGTGATTGGAATAAATTCTTGCAGGTGTACCTTTGGTATTGTATACTAAACAATATACACCTCGGAATTTAAAGTAGCCAAGTTTTTTTTTGTCGAATATAGCACGTGCTTACACAGTGCAACTTTTATATATATATATATATATATATGAGTGCCGCAGTCATAAGATCACTAAGGGTGTACTTTAGTGTGGTTACAGTAGCACTAAGTATAAACAAGGCTAGTATAGATAGTTTTGGAAGATAAGTGCAATTATCTCTTTAAATTAAATTTTTGATGGTTCTTACTTATGTATCATATATTTCAGTCAGATCGGTGTTATTATTGTGATATTAAAATAATTATGTATTCATTAGAGACCCTGGCTGACATCCAATATCTGACAACATGGGGGCTGCCACAAGAGGGCGAGCCTCCTCTAGACAATACTGAGATGACCTTCATAGCCCGAGGCTTGGATCTCGCAACATTGCCAACTATACATCAAGTCCTCGACGGACAGAAACTATCCCGGTAAGTTTTAGATAGTAGTTTCCAGATATCTACAGTTATCAAATTTTGAGGGCTTTACGGTTGTATACTGAAACGAATGTTAAATGCTTCAATTAGTAAATGCCGAAGAAAATCTGACAAGACAAGATGTCAAAATTTCGATTAACTTTGAAGTTTATGTTTGGTTTACATTTCGACCGTAGCGCAGGCTTGGCGTCGATTGTATGGGTGCACTGATGCCCTTTAGTTTAACATTATGCCAGTTGTATGCCAGAGAAATCTGTTCGCTATTGGAATTATGTTAACCAGCTATTAAGCGTGGCCTTTACATATTTAAATGTCGTTTTAGTATTCAGCTGTAAGCAGAGATTTTATTCCTTCTGTTAACCTACATACATGAAGAGCAATAGCATGATCCAGCACTTTTATGAAAATCTTTAAGCGTCATTTATGTAAGGAAAGCTGTTACTATAAGAAAAAACTACCTGCTTTTGCGGACGTATGAAGAATGAATTAATGTTTATTTTCTATCATTATGTCTCCAGATATCTTTATAATTTATATTATTTTATAAGAAATACAATGCATTGCAATATTTCGCAGCTGCTAGCGCTATCTTAAATATTACTGTTAAAAACTTAATATAGGTATTACTTTCATCCAAAAAGTAGTCACTAATATACGAACGTAATTGTTCTTTGGAATTAAATTTATATTTTCATATTACTTGTTTTACTTTGTATTATATGTCATTTTATACTTCTAAAGAACTACGCAAGCAAATATTAACCCAAGGAGATCATCACTAGAAGAACAAATAGACGCCTAGCTTAAATTCAATTACATTTTTAATTTCCACCATTTTCAAACTAATGTTTTCGAATATAAATGCGAAACTTTAGACGGATTGATGTTTATAAAAGTAAGTATCTCCATTTCTCTCAAAGGGTCTCGATGAAGTGATGAAGTGAATAACATCTAGGCTACTTACTTAGCTGAACTTCACTTTATAGTTATCATTTATCAACATCAGGGCGCTTATATGTTTTTTTACTATAGCACATTAACACAAGTACAACTAGCATAATAAAATATTAATTAAATCAGTCGATTGGACGACTCTACACTTTTTACTGTGAGGCTTTACTAAATAAGTAGTTACATTACTGTAAATACTGCATTCGCTCAAGGAGAGCACGGCAGGGTTTAGGACATTCGCGTATTCGTCGCAAGCGTACACATAAGTGTTTCTAATAACTTATGTATTATTCGTGCCCTAAATAAACAATATCAGTTACATTCGCTTTAGCAATATATAGAATTGAGAAGTAAAGTAAAATCATAACTATATTTATTAATACTAAGAAAACATAATTTCTTTTTCTTCATATAATTTATCTGCTTAAAAGTGATAGTAAACAATAAAACATTGATTATAACATTTTGTACTTTATTGTATTTAAACAATGTTTCCCACAATATAAATAAACAAGCGATACCTAAACATATTGTTCCTCGCTTCTATAATACTGATCAACATAACAACTAAACTTGGCACATAATTCTCTGACGGCACATTGAGGTAGGAGAGAAACAGGATAACTTTTCATGTTCTCTTATTAAAAAAGCTTATGTCTCTTGGTTATAGGTCAGTGGTAAGGAGCTCAGCTCTCTCTACCACTATATGGAACTCCGTCTCTCTGTACGTCTTACCGTCAGGCATTACTATCTGCAATTTCTTCTTCTTTTCGTTCTCGTGTCTCACGATGAAAAATATCGCAATAGCCGCCGCAATCATAACCAATATCACACCCACCACGACATATATCCAAAAGTTCTGTTTGAATACACCACATCTGCTGTTGATGTAAGTCGGAAAAGATACGAAATGATTCTCCAGCTCGTACCAGCAGGTGATGGTGCCCCCCTGCTCCTTGAGCACTTCCCGCCACTGCTCCGCCAACTGGCAACTACACGTTACATTTATGTTCAAACCGTCAACACGTAAAGTCAAACTCGAACGATTAAAAATAAGAGACGATGGCATCAAGTCCGTCACTGTATTATTATCTAACAACAACTCTTGCCGACCGAATGTGGACAGCACGTCTAAATCGACACTTAAACCGAACAATGCACCCTTTCTTAACGTATTCACTGTATTATTTCTAAATGTAATTGGTCCCTGAGAAACTAAATGAAAACCGTCACCGTCCATGGTATCAATTTTGTTGCTTTCAATCAGCACTCTCTTTGGTGAATGAACGAGGTATGCCAAACTCGATAAATGTTCGATGGTAACGCCCTCTACACGGAACAAATTGGTTACTTCCACGTCCGATAGGAATCTGCTAGGAATAAATCCGATCTCACCGCCTCGCAGTACAAAATTCAATGTTGAGAATTTTTTGAACGCTTGGATTTCGATGTTATCGAATATATTATTGCTTAAATCTATGTTTTTGACTCCTGATAGACTAGAAAAAGCGAAGGGCTTTAGGTTGCTGATGCGACTGTTGGTGATCGTGATGTCGTCGACTCGACCTTGTACCGCGTGCGAGGCGACCTCATTGACGGTGCTGTTGTGGATAGTTATGCGGAGTCCGGGGTTCAGTTCACTATCCCGTGAGAAGGGCGACCAGGCGAGGGCTCGTTCGTTGATAACGGCGTGGGCGACATTCCTGATCTCCACGTTGCGGAGGTGGATAAGGCCACGGATCGTGTCGGAAAGAAAGTGAACTCTGCTGCAGCCGTCGATCACGATACCGGACGCTGTGGACGGCACGCGGTACGGCCCGTCCGGTCGCAGCGTCACCTCCTGAAATAAAATTGCACCCGATATCATATTGTTTAAATGAAACTAATAATTGTTGAATCGCGAATATATTGTAAATGAAATTACATCTTTTATAACCAACGTGAAAGTATAATAACTCCACGAGTATTTTGTGAAATATCCACAAGCCCATGCCTATTTATGCAATATCCGCGCTAGTCGACTATCGTCGCAATTTATTGAATAGATATACAAAGGCCTTCATACACCACTAATAGACGTCGCAATGTGAGAATTCGACTGCGGTTACTTTGAACATCTCGAGACTAACTTTGTTCATAAATTGTTGCGGTCTTCTCGGGATATTCCTTAATTTAGTTTATCGGATAGATTCAATGTGACGTAATGGTAGTGGTTTTAAACTTACAGTTCTTAAGTTCCGATTTTGCATTCGCCTTCTATAAATCTACGTATACATCGGTTGTACGGCTATTTAACTATATCTTTATGCCTGATCAAATTAATCGGTATTGCTTACGTTGTAATCGTGGGTACAGTTGCATATGAGCCGGGTGAAGGGGTCGCAGCGACAGGCGTCATCATCGCAGAGCGTTGGCGCAGGCTGGGCCTTGCCGCACGTCAGTAGCACGACCAGCGCTGGAAGCGCGTACGTCACCCACAGCGCTGGACCACGCATGCTACTGCTGCGTATACGTCATGTCACCATCGCAACACCTTTATTCTGGAAAAATCATTGTCACTTTTATATACACTTGCAGTTTCTCGGATGTTTCGCATGTTCTTAAGTTGATCAATATTAGGTAGTTAACATCTGGTTTATTCCTTATCTTTGAAAAGTACCGCTGGTACAAACAAATCTGTTTTATGGTCTATGAAGTTAAACTACACTAAGATAATGATTATTCACTAACCGATAGTGCAACAATAGAAGAAAGATTTAATAATTCCACATTAAAATACATACATACATACATAATATGTACGTGATCTTGATGTTATTCCTCTTTGTACTAACAATGACGTTGTTAACGTTATAAAAACATTTAAAGTAGATTCCAGCTTGGGCAACAGCTTGCACCGTAGTGAGTCAACTTCGCGCAGAGACGTTATCGTCCCCCTTATCAGATATGTGGCTAGGTGTTGGCCATTCACAGCTCGTCGAAGCGCCGACACTGATTTTAGCAAGGCTATCGAACTGATAATGATAGCGCGACTGTGTTATATTGTTGACCCCCTTTTATACCTTCGTTGAAGTAAAGAAACGATCAAATAGTGTTGTATTTTTTGTCAATTGATGTAATACAATTCGCTTACGGTTTTGCAACGTTAAGGATGTAAAATATCACATTAGTGAAAGCGGGAGGTGTTTTATCTTATTTTGTCGACGGAGATGTGTCTAAATTAGAACATGTGTAAAAATCTTACTTCTTAGTCATATCATACTAATATTATAAATGCAAAAGTTTAGATGGATGGATGGATCGATGTTTGTTAGCGTTTGTAGCCTAAACGGCTGAACGGATCTCCATGAAATTTGGCACAGGTTTAGAGCATAGTCTGGAAGAACACATAGGCTACTTTTTATCCTGGGAATAGTTACGGTTACCGTGGGATTCATTAATATAGTTTTATAATGTTTACTCGATTATTCTGCAACGGTTCAAAGTATCTTATTGAAATTCGGCACAGATATAAAACAAAGTGTGGAGTACACATGGGATAAGCTTCATCCCCGAGAAATGTCCGGCTCCTGAGGGATACGTAGCTTTTTGTAATTTATATAGTTCGTATGCTTTCTAATACCTCGTGGACGAAGTCGCGGGCAACAGCTTGTACATTATAATGCAAGAATTTGTATCAATAAGAAGACATTATCCTTGAGGCGTCTGTCCGCTATGCTAATTATGTGTCTCAAGTTATTTTAGATTCGGTGCGTTCGCTATGGATTTATCGTTGTTGCCGATCATTCCGCTCGCCCAATTCCGTTGAGCTTCAAACTTAAGTGACATTTAACGGTTTCTTTAGGTAATAATGTTTCAGTGTTCATTTTTTATTAACATTTCATTATTTTAAATGCGATATCACTTTTTTAAATACATTAAAATGATATAATTATCCACGTGGGCGTCGCCAGGCGATAATATAGGCTAAGTCTAGAAGAGAAGGGGGGAGGGTCGAAGTTGTCATTAGCATGGACTTATACGTAGTAGTTTTTTTTATCAATTTTACTTTTTTCGATTCTCTAGGGGTGTAGCAGCGCTTTCCCCCGTTGAGAATTTTTTATAGTAACTTTTTTGTAGTATCCAAACTAAAACTTATGCATTTTGTATAGTCTGTTAAATAACTTGGCTCTACTTTAGACTTAACTAATTATAAATTTTATTCCTCTAGCCAGTCATGTACTAACACACGAAGTTTTAGTAGAGTTTTTAAAGTATTGCGTAACTAATTGATCTTAAAAAAGATTTAAGGGAACATATTTACTAACTGTACAAAATTGTTTCATTTTTGACTAATTATGGTTACATAAAACTGAAGTCTCCGACGAGTCAATCGTTACAAGTCAACACAAAAAATTGTGATTAAAATTTCTTTTAATCCGCTTTAGATAAAAGCGTTTTGTATATTGCAATGTATGTAATTACCCAATTATTTGAGACACCGTCGGTAATTTTTAATGTTTATTTAACTTGACGATTAGATATTGTAGTTAAAAAAAAGACAGTTCACCTTTGCATTATTTAGTTAAAAGCGTATTCTATTTAACAAAAGGTTTATCAAAACCACTTTGTCATAGTCTTTCTCATTACAGATATTCTTACTAATAATCCAATTATTTTCCTCTTTACGTCAATACATAGTTAATGTATTCACCGCGGGTTTCCATTGTTGAAACACACATAATTTCATACCAACAGTATATATTTTCGAGTTAAGATAAAGATTATGTACCTTAAAAAGGTCATGGGTACAAATATCTTGTAAAACATCGTCATAATAAAGATTACATCATAGAGACGTGATACAAACGATTGTAACATAAAAGCGATTATCCGTAACTATTTTGTTTTAAACATCATGATGTTATGTACTATTAAGAAAATAATGTTCCACTGTAAAATCTAAATTCCTTAACGTGATAGAGAGATAATGATAGTTGCTCTTTCATATTTAACTACCTTTTGCTGACGACTTCGTCCGCGCGGAATTAAATGAAATAGTAATAATTATAGACTATTACTAAGTGATATTGTTGATTTACAATGGCGAAAAACATTTTGGATTGGTCCAGTAATTTTTGACATTATTCATTACAACCAAAATACAAATGTCTTTACAATAGTATAGAATGTCAGTCTTACGTATGTTTACTTGATATCGTGAATTTTCAATATCTCCAAGTAAATATACTGCCATCTATTATCTTAGAAGAACAGAGACAACAATAATTATTTTCATGTATTTTTAAACATAATTGTCAAAATTTAACATTGCACTTTGAACTGTTGTTGGTTATCTTGATTCGTTATAAATTCTTGCTAAGGTTAAAGAAATGAATCAACTCGAATGCATTGGATGCAAGAGAGATGCGTCACAAACTGTTGGAACATTCCCTTAATGCATGTCACACACGTTACGTTTTGCATGACGGTTACCGCATAGCCTAGAAGCATAACAGTTTCATAGTACATAATTGTACAGTTTTGTCACAAACGCTAGGATTTGTAGGTTTTGCGTGTAAGATAGAACAGTCATGCAAAACCTAACGTGTGTGGCCTACATTACAAAGGTTAGCGACACGATAAAAGGTATTGTGTTGCACATATTTTTGTACTTTCACCACTTCATAAGTGACACGAATTGATTGCTTTCTTCTTTTTTATTACTTAAGTACCGTTTTTAAATACCTCTAAAATGCATCACAATCAATAATAGCAACTTCTTTAAAAAGGTCTTATTAGATTAAATGAATAAACGACGAACTAAACTTTATTCCGTTTCAAAGATTAATAATCGGAATTCCTAACGTAACTTTTAGGTTAAAATAGTTAATTTTAAATTTGTACTATAATGAGAGAATTTATCATAAATTTATTTGTTGCAAAACTACCATTAAACAATAATTAATTGATACTATACTTTCGTAACCAAAATACAATATCATATTCTATTATTAAACAAGCGTTTCGACCTTTATCGATATTCAAATAATAATGCTTCTTACGTCATAGATTTTCTATGATTGAAATATTAAAATTACTTGAATCGTGTTTATGAAAAAACTAATAAAATTTATTAATTTGATTTAGTTATCGGATTACACGGCTCATTGGGCTTATAACGTTAAACCTTTCCGTTTAGTAAATCAGATATTGCTTAGTGAAAAAATTTTCTTAAAAAACGATAAGTGCATAAAGCTAAAAAATTGAATGGCGACCAGTTGTGAAATTTGAAAAAAATACAAGATATTTAAATAGCAATTTATGAAGAGTCTTTAAACATTCATCATTAAATCTGTGAACTTAAATGAAACCACGAGAAAGCTTTGAATATATCCCGGGAATTTGCACACTTTCCCTATGTGTAATAGCAAAATAGGACTAAAGATAAAATAAAGGGCATTTATTGAAAAGCCTTGATACCTTTGTGTTTACACTCTCAATAAACATGTATTACATGATATTATTTTCATTTACATTCTTTGAAAGCAGATAGTGGTATCATTCAGATGCAAATGCCGTATTTACTTAGAATTACATACCTGTTGACACTTCATCTTAGTTCCATGTGTACATGGTAATCAAATATTATGATGTCATTTGTCCGTTCCAAGTATTTCGTCTGTTTACATTGTTACGGTTTTCGTTGTTTGTTTATACTGAATCTTATTTCTTAAAACCACCTTGAGAGTGCCGCCTTGTGTGACCGAGGCCCTGATGCTAGTTTCACACGAGGGTAGAATAAGGCAGAACAGTCAAACCGGGAGGTATTTCTATTGTTAGATGGACACTTACTACGAAACAATACTGTTATGTCTGTGTGCGTTTAAACTATAGTAATACGGCTAATCCTACTGCTCTTTCTCAGTGATCTTACCTGGTGTGAAACTAGTATAACAGAGGCTCTATGTTCACACTTACCGAGCACACATAGAAGGTTTTGTGAATATACACTAGGAAACAAAGTTGTGTGCTATCATTGCATCATTTCAATAATAATACCACAACAACGGTTACCTACTATCATTATAAAAGTTTATTTAGATTGAAATATCTTAGTGATTAGTAGGAATAGTAGTAGTTGTTAGCGACATGTTAGGGATTTTCATTTCAAAATGTTTAATTTTTGGTATCAAAACAATGGTATATTTTATGCGAATTTTACGCCAGAACTTATATGTACCAAAAATCTAGTTTTTCGCAATTCACAGCATATATGCGTTATGCAAATACAAAAAGCTTTTTATCATTTTTTAATTACAGTACTGCCAACCAAATGTTTCTATGTAATGCAAAAGCAAATACAAAAAACGTAATATTTTGCTATATCTGTAGGTTTCCTAGAACGTAGTGATTTTGTATGAAAGCCATGTCCAGTCCAGTCGTAATTAAACTCGCTAGTGCTACTGAAAGACTTTGTGAATTACGTAATAAATTCTCGGGCGAATTAAGCTTTCAGAGTGACAATATTAAACGACATGAAAATTTTAGAGAATTGAAGATTTTAATTTAAACATTAGTAGCTTTTGCCGCGACTTCATAATCATCAACTTGCCCTTCACCCTACGCAGGGTCGGCACAGTATGTGCTCTTCAATACATTTCTATCATCCGTCATATCTGATTCCACTACCTTCTTAAGCATATCCTCCTTCACACAACCCATCTATACTTTCTTCGATCTCCCTCTATCTTTTTAGCCATTCTCATCCATTTTGCCGCGTTATGATCCACGCATAATTTAAAAAAAACTTATGTAGCAGTATTCTTCCAGACTATGTTCTACCGCTATGCGAATCCTAATTCGGTAAACCGTTTTAGTTATTTATTAACAGCCATCTATCTATCCATCCAAAAGTTGGGATGGACAAACTCATCATCATCCACTTGCCCTTATCCCTTACGGAGGGTCGGCACAGTATGTGCTGCTCTTCCATACATCTCTATCAGCCGTCATATCTGAATCCACTCCTTTCTTAAGCATATCTTCCTTCACACAATCCATCCATACTTTCTTCGGTCTTCCTCTTCCTTTGTAGCCATCCACATTCAATCTCAACACTTTCTGGTTTATGTCCCCATCATTTCGTCGCATAATATGTCCATACCACGCTAACCTTTTGCTTCTCAATTTCTCCACCACTGGCGCTACTTTCAAACTTCCTCTAATGGGATGGACAAACTATCGCATATATAATATTAGTAAACAGTATATTATTTTGTAACGCTATCCTTTTATCGTAATAACCATAGAGGTGTGGTTTCTTATCTATTCATAAAGCGACAGGAGTATGTGATGGTTCGGCTCCTTACAAATTTCCTAGGAAAATTATAAACATGCACTTGTACTTCAAAACATCTACGTATCAGAAGATTTATTATGCATGCAAAATATTTACGATAAATGTCATAAGACGTGATAAATAATAAGATGACCTTAGCAATGCGGAAAAACCCGTAGCGTTTATTAGCATAGAGTCGCGTTGAATAGAAGTGTTTTAAAATAGAATCTAAAACTTGCATATGAAAAATTAGCTGTTTCTCGCGACTACACCCGCGTGGATTTTAAAATTAATAAAAAAAAACATGGCCTATGTTACTCACAGATGAATTACCTTTACAATGGTGAGAGAATTTTTAAAATCGGCCCAGTAGTTTTTATGTGAATTGAATGTATGCAAAAATCCAAAAATACAACTCTTTCCTCCTTATAATACTAGTATAGATTAACATGAAACGAATCTTACTAATATTATAAATAACGAAGTAGCAAGTGCTAATATTATATAAGAAATAAAGATAGTCTTGATGTTAACATGTTCTTAATTTGGTAAGTTCTAATTAAAACATTTGTTCTTAAATATAATGTCACGTCTCGTATCAATATTTACAAGATAAGTCACGTACAAAGGTAAACAAAAGAAAAGAAGTGATTCATTAAATTCGCGTAATAAATAATGTAAATCATTTATATCTAGGACATCTTGCATCAGTAACATGTTCTTATGATGGACTTACATGGAAATGTATAAAACCTAATTGTGATGTTATTGCTGAAGAAAGCATTTATAAACTACACATTTCTATCTTAATAGTATCCTAAATTATGTAAATCAGAGAGATTTACGCTATTGCATATTTTTAAATTTCTTTTTTCTGTGTACAGTATGAGATTTAATAAAGTGATGTTGTATAACATTGATAGGTACTTTTATGTAGTAAAAAAGTAAAAAAAAAGCATACAGAAAATGATTCAAAATTCAAGAGTTTCAGCGTAACTTGTACGTTTTAAAGTAGTTAGGCCATTGATGGAAGAAGGTATAGCTTTAAACCGAAGACAGATCTTTTCTATATTTCTTTAAGAAGCCTTTGAATGTAGATTCATAAACAATTACAGTGTGATAAATAGGACTCGAGATACACCTAATGCATGTAAAATTGTCCTTTTACTCGAGTTTACTTAGGGACCGTCAGTTTGTGCCTTAACCGCAAAGGGTAACACGGTTACATTTTTTTAAATCCTTCAAGCGATACAAACGTGTCGTTAAAAGGTTTCCATCTCATTAAGAACATCGAGCCGCGCCGAAACTGGACGGACGGACCCGTTACATAACTAGTTTTTGAATTTTGGGCAATATAATTATGATTTTTTTAATGGTTGTTATTTATTATTGAGACCTATTAAATGGTTCTAAAGCTTTATTTAGGTTGTATATACTTTTTAATTACACATTCGAGGATTTTCTCTGGTTGGCTGACGATCTCTTCGGTGCTTCCTTGGCTTTAGACCTAATTCGTCATTTTAAATGAAGACAAGGCGAATCGAAAGACAAATCAAATAATTTGACAAACTCATTAATTAAAGAAAAAAAAATAGTTCTTAAATGTCAGGACCTAGTGATATTAACAGCAGATATCTTGTGCAGGATGTGTCATCACCATAATTTGGTCATATTAATTGCAACAAAATTTCAAGAGGATTGGAAATTAGAATATAGATTATGTATAATTCGAGCGATCTTAGACGGATTCCATTAAAGAAAACCTCAGCTCAGATTTATGTATTGTCTGTTAGTATATTATTACTTACGTTCTAAGTAAAAATTTAGTTTGCTCACGTGTTAAGATTTCTATATAAGATTACATAGTTTAATATCCGCATAATATGCTATTAATGATTTAATTATTGTATTTACCTGTTCTTAAGTTTTAATTCCTCCTCAACGCTATCGTCGCAGATTCTTGTTATCTTAACCCATGAATAATTCCTATGACTTTGTTATTAATTATATTTGCGTTACACTAGCACTCGCGTTTTAACCGTAACTAACCATGACGCACACAAAACAAACGTTAAATAATTTCAAGTGTTCACGGTTTTGCCTCAAAACTTTGGTCTTACGCCAACAACGAGTACGCATGAAATGTCATAAACTGAGAACAATAGCCAACCTGTTAGATCCCGGAGCTAGGTACTCGGTTGGTTGCGGTCACACCATAGCTCGGGTTTTATGATGTACACATAGGTGCCAGGTTATGCCGGGTCGGTAGAGTCGGTCGTTCTGCGCGAAGTCATGCGACTGAGTGTTCGGCGCGCGCTCAACTGAACGACCGCACGCTGCGAACTGCGCACGCGCACTACTGACCTTCGTGACTCGCACCTACCGCCCACCTATCAGATGCAGACTCTATGTACAGTTGTCATCATCACTGATAGATATATTCGAAGAAAAGAGTTACATCCTTTAGTTCCATTTACATCTGAGATGTAATTGTTATTGTCATCATTTCCTAACAACAGGGATCGTGTCAAGCGCTGGTCTATTCATTTCAAAAATGTCCTAATCGTAAGAAATTTACATTACGTATATCGGACGAAAGCGACGATAGTTCTGGGGCGTAAGCACTTGACTTGTAATATACAGGTCTTGGGTTCTTATCCCGTGTACCAATGTGTTATTCGATATCATATGTATATAATTTAGGTGTATATTTATGTGTGAACTCAACATCCCGCACTTACTGGGCTAACGTGGCTGATGATGGCCTTTTCACTCGTAACATAGAGTTAGCTCTGAGCCCTTCAGTTAGGAGCTGATGATGAATATGAGAGGACATTAGACATGACTACGTAAATGTGTCGTCTGTGATACTCAGACAATATGATTATAACATCCACCAGAGGAAGTCGCTTTATTCGGCCAATTGGCAATAAGTGGTCCCCCAGTACTTTAAAAAGACAGTTTATTAGATATAAAGTACTCTGTGGAATCACAGTAATGTCCGACATAACTAACATGCACGCAAGAACTTTACATTATACTAGCTTTCGCCCGCGACTCCGTCCACGTGGAAATAAAAAAACAAAAGTAAATAATGCAAATATGAAACTCCGCGTTGCTACCGAAAGAGCTTTCAATTAACCACGAATTTAATTTTCCACTAAAGGCTGTCGTAATATAGTTTGGAAGTCCATTATCATTGTATAACAATAGGTTTTTACTGCATGTACGCTCAGACAAAACAGGTCAATTAATTTAAAAAAGATAATTATGTCCTTGTACAGTTTTGCAGGTATAGAAGCCAAGTGTTAAATAAATTTCAGTGAAATTTAAGAATAAAGGTATGTATAAAATTCTTAATCTCACACTTCGAAGAAGTGATTGAATACATTTGTCGCAATCGAATAACAATACAGTACACCGACTGTAGAATTCCATACTTATCAGTGGCCATACTCACATTCGCGCGCAATAACTGCGATAAGATTAGAAACAAAATGGTCGACTGTATTAGATTTCTAAGTCTACGTCTGTTTACCAAACTGCTGACCAACTAAGTAACAAAATTAAATGTTCTGTTAGTATTTTATTGCAAACTAGCTGCTAGTTGCACCTGCCTGGTATTGCTAGTTGCAGAAATAACGTTGATTAAAAGTTTAATGAATTAGTGGTAAAGTAAAAATACCTCCATCCAAGTCAATGTCAAAAATAGCAAACAATATACAATATACCTTTGTTAATTTGTTATCTGTCACGCTTAATATAGAGATTACCCTTAGTTTGGATTTCTTATAATAAATCTACACTAAGTTCCCACTTAGTGTAGATTAGTATAGTAGTAGATTAATATAGTATATATCTTAAATAAGGGTAATCTCCTTAAATACAGAAGTAAAAACATAAAGGGCTAGTGGATGTTTCTTATTTTTTTCCCGAACGACGGTTCTTAGATTTCGTTGACAACGTTGCTTTAAACTAACAACGAATGACTTTCGATTTCCGTTATTAATTATCGGTTAGTTTAACCAATGCCTCAACTTCGACAGCACTACAGTGCAACACAAATAACTTGAGCGGCAGTGAAATTAATAGACTGCCGAAATAAACAGACGCCGTTTGATTGGACTAACCTGTTTGTAAAATGGACTCATTTGTTCAATAATAAAGTTTGTTTTTGCTTACGGTACGATTCGGTGTTAGGCGTTTTGTTATTTTGTAACCGTAATAGACGTATGAAGATACTTTCCAGGTATCCTATGGATGTGTTTTTAAACGTTCCCCTCGAGTTCATATAGAGATAAAATTCATTTATTTCTCATACACTACACTTAGAAAAATTTTCAGAATGTTTAAATGAAGAGGAGACCAACTCTATTACACATACAATTAAATTTTATTTTACAATGTAGATTCCAATATCCCATCGCAAATATGAGATCTCAAGTTTTTGTTTTACAAATTGAAGTATTAAAAATAAACGATTTTCACTTTCAATCAGTTATGTGAAAAACTGCACGTCGGCTTAAAATACTGTAATTGCTTCGGGATTAAACGTCGAGCACGTTCCAATAAAATTTCTTTAAACCACTATAAATATCAACATTTTTTATGAAATAAATCGTTATTTTCAAAGCCCAAAGAATAGATGAAACCTTACTGCCCAAATAATTTGTTTCTGTTTTTTGAGGTAAGAGGGATAAAAATTGGTTTTTTAAAACGTTCAAGTGCACTTTCGAGTTGGCACGTTGGTTAGAAGAGTGCGAATGTTTCCAACGTACTAAATCGAACGCCAGGGCTTCAAGTTTAGATTCAGTATCTCTGTTTCACTCTGTTATCAGACTTTCCGTATCCAAATTGTATTGTTAATTTTAGACAGCAGTGTTTATTAACTCTGTTCCCACTCCTTCAATACGATGAGTTGACCTGCAACTTGTCAATGTTAAGTTGGGTAGAAGTATGGTTTGTTGATGAGAGAGTATAGGTAATAAATACTCCATGGGTTAGTTCTGTTGAAATCCCTTCTAAAACTTTGTTTGAAATACAAATAATTCTTAAATGCACTTTGAATGTACATGAGGATTATGACGATTAATTTCTGAGGCGTTACACGGCTTGCTTGAAAGTTCGCGTTGTGCGATCAGCATTGGAGGTTCGCCATACACGGACTGTAACTTGCTGTCAATCGAGAATGCTACTTATGTAGAATTAAAACCTTTGGTTCTTTATTCAATTTTTTCATTTATAGGTAAATTTATCAGTTTGGAATGCGCTCATACAAGATACGCAGAGACTGTTGGGATTTACAAGTATGTAGGAGTTTATGCAATCTGTTAGCGCAACTTTATCAAAGGTCGACGGCGTTGAATTGAATTTATTGCAATGAATGCTGATCCGAGTTATCGTGATTGGCGGGAGAGGGGGAGGGTTGTGAGGGGAAGGTACCGCATGAATTTGAACTTTGCCCTTATTACCGTACTAACTGGTGACATTCAGGACAGCTAAAGTCTTGCGACTTCCTGACCTCAGTTCAAATCTCACTAATGAACTATTACCACGTAACTTAACAGTTCTATTCATCTAGATCTGGATGTTTAAATGGTCTTGCTTTTATAGTTTTTTCGAACTTTCTTATGGACAAGTTTGAGGGATATCTAGTGTCTTATAAATCTGATTCGATATCAAGTACCCATGTAGTTATTGATTTTATGTGTCGGATGTTTGAACTTCCACTCTAATTTGAAGCTAAATCCTTAATAAATGGTCATGACTTATTTGTAGGTAGTCGTGCGGTTACTCATACTCTATGAATGGTTCAGTTTTAATTATAGACATTTTGTGTTTGTGATAAATCTAACGGTGTATGAATGTAATGATCGGCCGTGTTTCATGACAGTAATTGCGATTTTATTCTTGTATTCAACAATAATCATTCTTCATGATTAGTGTACACATACTAATTAATGCAGAAGATTGGATGTATGGAGGTTTATATCTCCAAAACGGCTTAACGATTCTCGATGAAATAAAGCACAATAGATCATAGTTTGAAATAACTCGTATGCTATTTTCGCGCGATCGACTACGCGGAATAGAGCTAGTATTGATAGTATGAGTCTTAAAATAAATATAATTTAGCAGTAAATAGTGACTTGCAATAAAATTAGTAACTAAAATACAAAGTTCATAAACTCCGTCCGTTTGCAAGTTGATAGCAAATAGCATAGAGACGAATAAATTGAAAACTTGAAGGATTATGTAATTTAAAGTTTTAGTTATGTTACTGCAAACAAATCATTATTACAGTTTATATCAGCGGTACATACTTACATAAAAGGGGTTTATAATCATAATATATAGATTTTAATCATCATTTTCCGATCGTATTTAGCATACGTATAATTAAAGCTCACATCAATTTGACGGTACAGTAATCATTCAATACAATTCCGATAATTACGTTGATTCCAACTATAATTAATCACAATATTTTTGTACTGAATAATGGAAACTTTAATTTTTTTTTATAACATAAGGTGGCAAACGAGCAAGCGGCCACCTAAATCCGCCAAAATGGCGAAGCGACCGCTGCCCATAGACATCCGCAATTGCAAATGCGTTGCCTACCCTTATACGACGAAGGGGGAGACACACATAAAGAAGATATTTCCCCTTCCTATCCATCTCCTCCATCGTCAAATCTACTTCCACTTCCCATCCTCTGCTTATAAGAAAAGGGCGGTAAAGAGAAAGGGACTTAAATTAGGCCTCCGGCACCACACTCATCAGACGAAACACGGAATTGCTTCCATTTCACGTCTGTCTTCAAATTCAATTTGATATATCTTCCCGATTGACATATTTTGTAGAGTACTCGTATATGTATAAGTATTTATCGACTCCCCTCGCTTTGAAAGTAACACTGTTAAAGTTTTGCACACTATGCATTCCTATTGAAGAGTTTCCGAGAGCGTGAAGTGTTCACGTATTGACTATCACTTCTAACTCGTCACGCTCACTGAAGTAGCGTGTAAATTTTTATTCCGTTTGGAAATCAATCGCCAGTATGTTTAAATTTTACTAATAATGACAATTTTAAAATGCAGGAGCTGCGTTTGTACTCGATTTATTTATTAGACTGTAGCAAAAAAGAATAAGGATATGTAAAATATATTTAATAGAAAGTTTATTTTTAACGTTACCTTAAAAATCTTCAATCTTGTTATACCGTACTAAGCGCTCGGTGCGGATTTTATACATAACATGGAGGCATGCGAAATGGTGGAACAAGAAACATATATATGCTACAGTGTAATAATATATATGATATATTTCGATTTTTTAG